TTTCTTTCTTTCTTTCTTTCTTTCTTTCTTTCTTTCTTTCTTTCTTTCTTTCTTTCTTTCTTTCTTTCTTTCTTTCTTGATTGCTTTCTGTTATCTTTCTACAGTACCAGGAATGCTGGAATATGAAAGTCTCCAGGGGATTTCGGGCTTAAAACCAACGGGATTTCGCAAACGTTCTTCTAGCATCGATGACACAGATGCTTACACTATGACCTCCATCTTGCAACAGCTCAGCTATTTTTACACAACCATGTGTCAGAACGGCTTAGACCCGGAGCTTGTAAAGCAGTCCGTGAGGCAGATTTTCTTTCTCATCGGAACAGTTACTCTCAATAGCCTCTTCCTTCGGAAAGACATGTGCTCTTGCAGAAAGGGCATGCAAATAAGGTAAACCTTTTGAAAAATAATAATAACAACCCCCAGACCTCTAGATTCCACACTTCCATTTAAAGGGAGGGAGAGAATTTCAAAAGCAGCCCAACAATTAAAGTGACGAATTTCAATTGGGTTGCATAAGTAAGATGGGTAAGCAACATGCAAAGTTGCGATAGGCATCTTGTACAACAAATGATGCTGATGGTTTACATGAGTTCTCAATCATGGATCATGGTTTATAAATTACATTTGGCTCATTTTTGCCCATCGTACTTAAGCCAGTGTCAAACTAACCACATTAGGACTTAGTGCTAAGTGCGATCCCAGCTAGTATCAGGAGATTAATGAGAGCAACAGGTCACATAGCCAGAATATTGGTTAGGTCACAAATATTTCATTGCATTTGATAAAAACTGAATTATTGCAAGGGAAAATGGCGCTTAGAATCAAAATACATATCATCCGCGAGAAGGGAAATTGCTGTTTTAAATGATGGCAAATTTAAAAGACACATTTTTGAGAGCACCACAAAAGGAATCCATTCCAGAGAATCTCTCTCTATGCTTCAAAAGGTAAATGTTTAAAGCCTCAGTAGGCACCTGCAAAAATAGCATTCCCTAAGGAAATCTGCCTCTTTTGAGCTATCATACCTATAAATTTTGGTATGATAGCTCAACATAGGCTATTGGCTATGCTAATCAGTATTTATGGGATATGACATAAAAGCTCAAATACAAAAAATTTAAGATATCCTAGACCGGTTGTGTGGGCGTGGCTTGGAAGGCATGGCTTGGTGGGCATGGCAGGGGGAGGATACTGTAAAATCCCCATTCCCTCCCCACCCCACTAACCTGCTTTCCAGTTCCGTTCTCCTGTGCAGGGCAACCAAAGAAGACAGCCAATCAGCTGGGACTCAGGAGGCAGAGAATACATGGGGGCGCGGCCAGTCAGAAGTGGCTTTTGCTGGTTCTCTGAACTACTCAAAATTTCCTCTACCAGTTCTCCAGAACTGGTCAGAACCAGCTGAGTACCACCTCTGGTCCCCAACCCTTGGTCTGTGAACCAGCACCGGGCCATGGCATGCCAAAAACCAGGCCATGCAAACAAGTGAAGCCCCATCTGTGGGATGCAGGCCCTATGCGAAACCACGTCCCCAACTTCTGGTCCACAGAAGAACCTCTCTCACCCTGGTCCCCAAAAGGTTTGGGGGTGGCGGTGCTGTTTTAAATCTAGAAGGATGTTTTAAAACCCAACGGCCGTTTTCTGCTGCTTCATCGTCCCAGGTGCAACATCAGCTACCTGGAGGAATGGCTGAAGGAGAAGAACCTGCAGAGCAGTTCTTTCAAGGAGACTTTGGAGCCTCTTGCGCAGGCCGCCTGGCTTCTTCAAGTCAAAAAGATCACAGAGGAAGATGCCAAAGGGATCTCGGAGAACTGCACAACCCTCTCGGCTATGCAGGTATTGAATTCATAAAGGAGAACCTTTGTATCTCGGGGTTGAAATGAAGGAGTCCTTCGTGTTCTCTGAGCTTGATGGCTTTCTGGCAGACATTTCATTACCCAGCTAGGTAACATCATCAGTGCTAGAAAGGAGGAGGAGGAGGAGGAGGAGGAGGAGGAGGAGGAGGAGGACTGTGGGGTTCTTGGTGCTCTCTGAGCTTGGTGGTTTTCTTGCAAACATTTCATTACCCAGCTAGATAACACCATCAGTGCTAGAAAAGAGGAGGAGGAGGAGGAGAAGAGGAGGAGGAGAAGAGGAGGAAGAGGAGGAGGAAGAGGAAGAGAAGGAGGACAGTGGGGTCCTTGGTGCTCTCTGAGCTTGGTTGTTTTCTGGCAGAAATTTCATGACCCAACTAGGTAACATCATCAGTGCTAGAAGGACATCTTTTCAGGTCAAACAGAGAGCAAACCGCACCCCCTTCTAGCACTGCTGATGTTACGTAGTTGGGTGATGAAACGTCTGCAAGAAAACAACCAAGCTCAGGGAGCACCAAAGACCCCACAATCCTCTTCCTCCTCCATAGACGCCATTCCCCTCTAGCACTGTGGAGGTTACCTAGTTGGGCGTTGAAATGTCTGCAAATAAACAACCAAGATCAGAGACCACCAAGGGCCCTTCAGTTACTAAAGTCCTTCCTGGATTTTTGAGGGGTTCGTTGACTTTTCTTGTTGGACTTTGGCAGTGAAGGCTATAAATGGTGATCACATGACTGCAAGGTGCCAAAATCATGTGACCCAGGGGGCACTGCAATGGCCACAATTATGAGGACCCATTAAGTCCCTCTTGTTCAGCACCCTTGTAACTTCAAACCTTCACTGAATGACTGGGTGTTAAATGTATTTTGTTCCTTGATCTTCCCACCATCTGATTCTCCTGATGGCTGTCTTCTAGATGACCTTAAGTGCAGTTTTACTTACTATGAATGTACCCTATTGTTTGGGACGGGGTTGTATCATAGATTTGTGTTAGTTCTATATTTTTGATAACAATCAAACAGTTAAATCCATAAAGATTCTCTTCTCTTCTTCTCTTCTCTTCTCTTCTCTTTTCTCTTCTCTTCCCTTCCCTTCCATATTCTATTCTATTCTATTCTATTCTATTCTATTCTATTCTATTCT